TTCCACACCGACTGTGCCGGGAAACCCTGCAGCCAACCTCAACTGGAAATAGCCAAGTCTGCCACCCTTTGTCCCTGCATTGTTGGACTAGGTCCTGGTACTTGGTAGCCTTTCTCTCCGAGGCCTCTTCACAACCGTCTTCCCACGGTACCGTTAGTTCAATCAGGATAATCCTCTTCATCTCCTCAGGTCATATGACCACATCAGGTCTCAGTGATGTCTGGACGACCTGGGGAAATTGTAGTTTCCTACCCAGGTCCACCCTCATCTCCCATGATTGTGCTGCCTGCAGGAGGCTCTTCTTGGTCTTCTTGGAGGAGGGTGGCTTCTCCCCCTCCCCGATGAACTGGATACATGAGGCTGGTCTCACATGGGTCTGGCACTTTTTCCATCTCTCCTGCTTCAAGACATCGGCCAGTGTACAGAGGACCTTGTCGTGGCGCCATCTATATCTCCCCTGGCTAAGTGCAGTCTTGCACCCCGCCAGTATGTGCGCCAATGTGCCTGTCCCTCCACATAAACTGCACAGTGAGTCCTCCCTCATTCCCCACCTGTGCAGGTTTGTTGGTGTTGGAAGAGTGTTGTACACTGATCGGAGCAGGAAAGAGATGCGAAAGGGCTCTTGTCTCCAAAGTTTAGGCCATGTGATTTTTCTCTTTGGCAGGTCCCACTTAGTCCAGGCTGTGATCCAAGTTCCACAGCCTTTGACCTTCGCCTTTCTTCCTCCAGGAGTCGGACCTCGGCTTGGATCATGTCTCCGCTCTGCCTTGGGTCTGCTTTCCCCCATTGTTGGAAGTGGTTGGTCCCGAGTCCTTGTCTCCCCATGCATGGATTCCCGATGATGTCCTTCAACTTCAGCATGCTCTCAGCTTGCGCCACTGATGTGCCAGCTGCCCACTTGCGTCCTGATCTTGTGGTGATGCCTGCATCTCTGAACTTTTCATCGCTGCGAAAGGGCTCTTGTCTCCAAAGTTTAGGCCATGTGATTTTTCTCTTTGGCAGGTCCCACTTAGTCCAGGCTGTGATCCAAGTTCCACAGCCTTTGACCTTCGCCTTTCTTCCTCTAGGAGTCGGACCTCGGCTTGGATCATATCTCCGCTCTGCCTTGGGTCTGCTTTCCCCCATTGTTGGAAGTGGTTGGTCCCGAGTCCTTGTCTCCCCATGCATGGATTCCCGATGATGTCCTTCAACTTCAGCATGCTCTCAGCTTGCGCCACTGATGTGCCAGCTGCCCACTTGCGTCCTGATCTTGTGGTGATGCCTGCATCTCTGAACTTTTCATCGCTGGAGTCTCTGTACATCATCACAGCCCTGCACTTTGCCACCTTAAATTCTTCGACCACTGATGATAGGGGTAGCTGTAACTGTCCAGACCTAATGTATAGCCATACTGACGTGAAGCTTGGTGGGATTCCGAGCCACCTGCGGAGGTTTTTATTCACTCGCCTCTCGACTCCTTCCACAGATGTCATAGGCACTTCATAAATTGTCAGTAGCTACATGAGTCTTGGTAGCAGACCATGCTGAAACAGCCAGGCCTTGAACTTTCCTGGTAAGCCTGATCCCTCTATCTTTCTCAACCATTAATCTGCCTGCTTCTCTGTCCTGGATACGTTGCTTATGTCAGTGAGAGAGGCTTCGTACCACTTCCCTAAGCATTTTATTGGGTTTTCCTCAATTGAAGATTTAACCTTCCCCTGAAGTTGGAGTTGGAACTTGCTGGTTACTTTCCCATTTCTGATCACCATGCTTCTTGACTTTCTTGGCTTGAACTTCATTCTCGCCCATGTCGCCACATTGTCAAGTGCCTTCAGGATCCACCTTGCTTGTAGATGGGATGGAGTTGTAATGGTTAGGTCATCCATAAAGCCTCTAAATCAGCCCCCTAAATTCCTTCCCTGCCGCTGTTATGAGCAGATTAATTCCCATGATAAACAATATGGGAGAGATAGTACAACCGGTTACAATTCCCTTTTCCAGGTCTTGCCACTAAGTTATAAAATAGGTGGTCTTAAACCATAACTTGAACCCTCCAAAGTAGCTGGTGATCATTCCCCTGATGTGGAGTGGAATATGGTAGTGCTCCATGGCTGCTTTGATGAGATTGTGGGGGATTGATCCATAAGCGTTGGCCAAGTCAAGCCATACAACTGTTAGATTGCCTTTGCTCTCCTTGGCCTCCCGGATCAGCTGGTGTGTTCTAAACACCCAGAGATGCCTGGGATGCTACCTTTCTGGATTGATGTATCCACATGCTTGTTTTTAACCATATAGGTAGTCATCCTTTTGGTTGAGAACAGATAAGAAGATCTTGCCTTCGATGCTCAGGAGAGATATAGTTCGGAACGGATTAATTTTAGAGGAGTCTTTTTTGTTTGGTACGAAACAGCCCTCTGCTCTTTTCCAAGACAATGGGATAATGCCTTTTGTCCAAACTCTCCGCAACAGTTTCCATAGCCTGCGGAGTAGCACCGGGCATCTCTTATATACTTTATAAGGTATACCCACTTGGTCCTGGGGCAGATGCTGATCGGGCTTTCTGTACAATATCTTGGACTTCCCTCCATGTTGGTTCACTGGTGTCAAGCTCTTCCACAGGAAAATTCAGTTCTGCCAACCTTTGGGTGTGCACTTAGAGCCTGGCCCCTGAGAGTATCACTGTGGCAATGATGTATCCACATGCTTGTTTTTAACCATATAGGTAGTCATCCTTTTGGCCAGAACAGATAAGAAGATCTTGCCTTCGATGCTCAGGAGAGATATAGTTCGGAACGGATTAATTTTAGAGGAGTCTTTTTTGTTTGGTACGAAACAGCCCTCTGCTCTTTTCCAAGACAATGGGATAATGCCTTTTGTCCAAACTCTCCGCAACAGTTTCCATAGCCTGCGGAGTAGCACCGGGCATCTCTTATATACTTTATAAGGTATACCCACTTGGTCCTGGGGCAGATGCTGATCGGGCTTTCTGTACAATATCTTGGACTTCCCTCCATGTTGGTTCACTGGTGTCAAGCTCTTCCACAGGAAAATTCAGTTCTGCCGACCTTTGGGTGTGCACTTAGAGCCTGGCCCCTGAGAGTATCACTGTGGCAATATACATGTGACAAATGCATTTTTAACACACTCACACACACACACACAAAAGCTTGGGATTAAAAAATATATATTAGCTTATCAAAAGTCTCCACTCTCAAGTGTTACTTTGAAGGTGGTCTGTTCAACTCTTGCTGAGGAACCTGTGAGAAAGTATATCAACAGGACGCAATTGAACTCTCGGTGAGATGATATTATAAGACATTAGCCTTTAATAGACTCTATTAAGTCATTACATGTTCCATTTATTTTAACTGCGTAATTCTGAACTATAAGAGGAACAGAGAGAGGATAGAAGGTGAGGTAGAGAAGAGGGAGAGAGAAACTGGACAAACATTCATTTACAAAAGTTTCATACCCCAAGGGCAACATAAAGCTGGCTCATAACTCATTATGTAGGCTCATTTCAATTGACAGTTAAACTCAGCGATAATGAGCACATTTCGATAAAACAATAATTAGGAGAAAGTGAACTTGATTTATATGTTTCCTGCTTCCGATTTACAAATTAATGAGGTTGAAAGCGAAGTGAAACATGTAAAGCGTGTAATAAGCCATTAATCCCCACAAAATGTTGAAGGAATGTTAATGCACGTAGGTCGGTCGAGAATTCTGGGTTATGTCTGAAGACAACAACCAGAAGTTTATAGTGAGAGAGAAGGAAAGAGATGAGAGAATGAAAGAGTTGTGATGAGTGTGTGATTATCTGCAGATTTTCACCATGGCATTACTTCACAATCAAAATGTCTGCTCTCTACTGTGAAAAAGACTGCAGACTGGGATGAAATTACAGCAATGCTCTTTATTTTTATAACAGAAATGAGAGAGCGAATATGTGGATTTATTGGTAATATTTTGAAGTATTGTTTGTTTAAATGAGGCTAATAGAGGCCAAGGACCCTCAGTTAACAGAGAAACAAAGCACAGTATTTAATGAAGTACAGTGTAGAAGTATTTGCACATTGGGTGCTTTACAAAAACAATTATTTTAGCTTTTGCTTTAGTGTGCCAGTAGGCATTCTGTTTGCAAATACTGTAATAATCCAGTCAGATTATAGTGCAAGGAGTCTGATATCAGACGCTATGACCCACACAGAAATCTGATCTCACCATCATCCAGTCAGTCTGGGATTACATGAAGAAACAGTATCAACTGATACTTAAGACTAAATCCATATAAGATCTTTGGCAACTAATAATAATAATAATAATAATAACAACAACAATAATAATAAATTAATTTATTCCTGTAATGGCAAAACTGAATTTTCAGCAGCAATTACTCCAGTCTTCAGTGTCACGTGATCTTTTATTCGTGCTCAAGAAACATTTCTTATTTTTATTAATTTTGAAAACAATTTTTGCTGCTTAATAGTTTTGTGCAAACTTTGATATACTACCATTTGGTAAGACTTTGGGAATTAATGCTTTTATTCAGCAAAGACACACTCAAGATTTCTGACAGTTATTTTTGTGCCTGAAGTTTCCTTTTCAGACGCAACATTTATCTAAGGAGAGTATTAAAATGAATCACGCAACAATTTACAAACGTTTGCGCTCATCAAATTATTGGTATTTGCGTCATTATTTAATGCCCAAAAAAAGCATGTCTTAAACTATTTTGCGCCTGTGTCGTAAGTAGATCACCTGCTCCTGATGAGCATCGGCTCTGCTTATTTGCGACTACACTAATTTGTACTGTGCTTGCTATATTGCGTTGGTTGATATGTATGATATGTAATGAGATGTTGCGTCTGTGTTCTTTAATTTGCGCGTTGTCAGTAATTCACTCGCAGAAATGTTGTTTTGGAATTGAGCTCTCGCGCTAATTTCCTCTGTTTAGTAAATCTGACCCTTAGTGTGAATCACACATTGAATGATAATGTGATACATAAGGAAAGCATGTCTTACTTCAGGTCTTGGAATGGTTCAGCTCGAACGTGTGGTGTTTCCACCGAATGACTAAACACAACTCCCTCGTTGCCTAGAGAGAAAAAGAGAAAACCAGAGAGTGACATGTCATATAGTTAAATTCAGGGGGGGGGGGCATGATATCACTTATATATACAGTATATATATATATATAAGTGTGTGTGTGTGTTTTTTGTTTAGTTTTTTTGCAAATATGATTTATTCTGAAGCAATATTCTCATCAGTTTTCTATCAGCTGTGACATATAAATCTGTGTGTATTTGAATTTTTTTATCCAAGGGCATTTTTTTTATAGAGGGCATTTTCCCACAAATCTCACTAATACTTTAATTTCAAATTCTTACATTTGATCTATAAATTAAATTATAATAATGTGATTATCTATACGTTATCAAATTAAATAATTTACACTGAACAATACAGCTGCATTAAATAATAGTATGAGATTTGATTATACAAATTGATTTTGAATATACAAACAAGAAATGATGGTGGAAATTATCATTTTTAAACACCAAATTAAAACACCAGTAGGTGCCAGTAGTGAGTGTTTAATGAGTGAGTCATTGAGTCGTTCATTCAAACAATTCGTTCAAACGGCAGATTCATCAGATGTTTATGCATGGGCAAATTAAACTTTGACTTTTGACTTAAACTTTTTCTGATTCGTTCTAAACAGAATCAATCAGCATTCAATCGGATTGCTGTAAGATGCGCTGTTTCCGCCTAAAATGTAAGTGACCTAATATTATTGTATTTGCTTATTGAACTGTTTATAGAACTATTAAACAGTCGTGATGGTGAAAACGTTGTGTGATGTTGCCTAACTAACTGTATTTTAAA